GGCTGCAGAACCCTTCTGGGAGAAGGAGCTGTGAAAATTGGCCCAAGGAAGCTTTGCCTCCCCAAAAGCTGGGAGAATAAGAGGCTCCGAGCATGGCGTGTGCATAGGGCTGCTGTCCCCACTGTGAGCGTGTGGAGCGGGGAGCTGTTTCCCATGCTGGCTCCAAATGCTCTCCATGGCTGTGTCCTCAGCGTGCTAAGCTCTTCCAGGCTTCTGGCTCCGTGCTGCGGCTCAGCTCAGCCACGGCCCTGCTGCAGACAGGGTGTCAGTAGGAATCAGTTGCTTTTCTGCAGCCTGATGTGAGGTGAGGAAAAAAATCAGGACTTATTCAGCCTTTTATATAGGCACCATCTACCCTTAAAGTTAAGGGTTTTCAAAGGGCATGTCTGAAAAGAGGACTGAAAAAAGCTGCAGAGGAGCCTTATCAGCTATTTACTGGGGGAAGGGGAGCTCAGCACTGGGATGATTTTCCTTTTGGAGTGATGAGCAGTGCTGTTGTGAAACACTGGAGAGGACATTCAGCAACTTGAGCCTTTCATGCTACAAGCCATATGTGCAGCTGGAAGAGCTTTATTCCTGGCTGCCTTTTCTACGACAGATTAGGAAAACTAGCCAGGTCCAAACTCTCTGATTTGGCCTTCCTGAATTCAGAGTGTCTGAAGTCCAGGGATGGATTTGTGGAGTTGAATGTTGCCTCTTTCCTTAGGGGTGAGCTTCGCAGGTGACAAAGTGGCTGTGGCCAAGAGTCAGGAGGGACTTGAACCTGGAAAACTTGCCCAGTACTTCTAAGAGGGCTCTACTTTGACTAAACATCAAGCTCTCATCCTCGTAAATCCAGGCCCAGGATTTCTTGGAGTTAGGAACACAAATCTCCTCTGGATTTGGCTGGGAGTGCACGAGCTCTATTCCTGACCTCCAGTCTTGCCTAGATCCATCTCCTACAAACTTCATATACTTGGTTTTGCTCTTACCCTTCCACCAACATGAAAGTTGTAGCCACCTAAATGTTGTAAAAGGGTTACTCCACTGCTAGAAGGCCTTGTAGAGGGGCCATGCATTAACTGCTTGCTGGGATGCCCTGTGCCTGGCAACGTTGGTTGAGATAGAGGCCTTTAATGTGTCTTTGTAAATAGTGATGTTCTTCAAGCTCTTCTGCTCAAGGATTGTGTGTAACCTCTGGCTAGTGGTTGAATGCTTAGTAGTGTCGTATGAGCAAGCACCTCCAGAAAGCTTTCTTGAGTGTCATTAACATTGTTGGGGGGTTAGTCATTACCTTTGCAAGAGGAGTATTAAGGTCTTGTGTGCTTTGAGTTTGTTCATAGGGATCAAAGCTGTGAAGCAGGGATGGCTTGATCCTCAGAGCTGGGCTCTAAGTGAGGCTTTGTTATAGCTAGGACTGGTCCCTACAGGAGAGCAAGGAACCCCTGAATGGCAGGGCAGTGGAGTCTTGATTGATGAGAATCCACCAGGTGATGGCTCTGTGGGCATAGATACCAACCAAAGGCAAGAGAAATGTAAGGAGTGCCAGGTAACCATGTGTCCTGGGAAGGGTCTGGCCTGTGTTTTTCATGGCTCTGGGATTCACAGTGACTGTTGTTTCTCTCCTTGAAATGGAGAGAATTTCCTGTTTCTAGCAAGACTCATCTTTCTCCGAAAGAAATCGGAGATGGCAGATGTGTCAACAGTTACAAGACCTTTTTCATTAATTAATCTGACTCTCTTCTTGCTGGTCAGTAAACAGTTTCCAACTGGTTAAAACTGAATTTCCAGGCCTGGAAGG